CATGAAGATGTTCCCCTTTAACTGGGGGATATCCTGTTTTTCCGGAAAGGGAACAATCCCTTTGTGGAAGCAGCCCCTGACAAAAGCCTTTTTATATCTTCTGAAATAAAATTTAAGGGAAGTGAAATGGAAAGGTAAACAATTCAAAAAGGGGGAGAGAATGTGCCTCTGCTCTGCGCATTATAAAATTGTTGCAGGTTTTCTTACTAACAGACAGAAAAACCACATCTTACATTTTTTTTAACAAGTCAGGTTCCCCAGACCCAAATCACTTTCCCTGTAGCTTCACAGCAGATGCAAGGGCTGCAGGGGCCTGATTTGACTCAGCACTGCATAGTGCTGCCAACTCTAATTTAGGAAATTCCTGGAGATTTGGTGGTGGAGCCTGGAGAGGGAAGGGGAGGGACCTCAGCAGTGTATAGTTCCCTAAAATCTGCTCATCAAAGCAACCATTTTTCTAGGGGAAATCTATATACTAATAGCCAAGACACCCCTCTGTGCGGATATCTAAATCCATACATCGGGGGCACTTGAGGGGCAAAGAGATTTTTCTGCACACTTGGGACAATCTGCAAGTGTGCAGAAAAATCTGAAAAGTAAAACCCCCGCCTATATTGGGAATATTAAGGACAGGGACTTAAGTGGGATATAATACCATAGAATCCACATTCCAAAGTGGCCATTTTCTTCAGGTGAACTGATCTCTGCTGCCTGGAGAACAGTTATAACCCCAGGAGATCTCGGCTACCCTATTTACCGAAGTAGGGTTTTGCAAGTGAGGCCAAGCCTAGGAACACTGCATTATTTAGTAAGCAGTTGGCCCCTGGCAACCGTCTTGGAAATTAATGTGGCCCAGGGCTGCCAAGTCCCCCTGGGGGGCGGGAAAACCCCTGCCCCAGAGGCCCGTTCCCTGACGCCGAGAAATCGGGCCCTGGGGGCAACCCTGCCCCGGCGTGCGCGTCACAGGGAAGTGACGTTATGACGCCAGGCACGCTGGGGGTGGGGCCACGGCCATACAAGGGAAAACTATGGTTTTCCCTTGTATGGCCGTGGCCCCGCCCCCAGCGTGTTCGGCGTCATAATGTCACTTCCCTGTGACGTGCATGCGGTGCGCGTGCACACACACCAGGATCCACCTGGGAGTCCCCCACCGGCAAGGTAAGTCCCACTTGGCAACCCTAACGTGGCCAGAGGTATAGAGAGTTTGCATTTTTAGCTCTGACTCCAAATGCCATGTCTGATGTGGGTTGTTTAGCATAAATTTGAAAAATTGACAGCCTTGCTGATTTCATGAGGCATCCCAGTGTTTCATCTCCTGCTAGAACTGCACTTCTAACACTTAGCTGACACTTTGGGTGAAGACCAAGTCAGTCTTCATTTTGTTAACTTTATATAAACTGTTCCTAATATAGTGATAGAGGCAGGAAAGAGGAGATAAAGTTCCATAAGCAGAGCCTCACCTGGTAAAGTTCTCACCCGAAACAAATGGGGCTTGCTGATTTTTTCTAAATATTTTATGTGTATTGTGCCATTGTATTCAGTGTCAGGGTCCAACTCAGAGATTTCAAATTCTTTGTTTTTCTCGGTCTTCTTCCACTGTATGTAAAAAAGACAGGGAGGAAAAGGTTTTGTATTTCTCCAGCACAAAAGCTGCTTTCAGATGGACGGTTTTCAAGTGACAGAAATGGCTGATTCACTGATGGTTATCAGGTTGGGCCCATTCACACGTTATGAAGTCCTTGTTGCTGTCCCAGGTGCCTTCAAGTGTGACCTGTGCCCAGAGTTCTGTGCCGGGAACTCAATTCCCAGACGTCAGGTCTTGATTCAGATCAGGACCGGGGCTTGTAGGGAAGGGAAAAGGGACAAGGATAAAAATGCACCAAATAAAACAAAGAAATAACATTGCCTAAGATTAGTGAACAAGCTTGGTTGCACCCATGTGACCTTTCACATTCAGGGCAGCAGCTGTTTGCTTACCTGGGCTGCAATCACACACACACGAAATAATCCACTTTCAAACTGAATTTCTGCCAGTTCACACAGTAAAATTGGAAAGTGCATTGAAAGTACATTGAAAGTGGATTATGTAGTGTGTGTGATCACAGCCTTGGTGAATCAGCATTCATGGCTATTAATGAATTCATCACCATTGGCTACTACATAAGATAATACAGGATACATTTGTTTTGTTTCTTTTTCATGTACTTCACATTTCATGTACTATTTTGTGTACTTTATATTGGAGTAACTCTGCATAGAATTACACTTGCTAACAGGGCATGGGTTGGTGCAAGAGAAGGGCTCAAACTCTGTGTCTTGCTCTGGTTTACTTCTCTGCAGCCCTGTCCCCCCTCCAGCCCCGTAGCTAAGGAGTTTTTTGGGAGGGGGTCTGGGGGGGGGGGTCACCAGCCAATTAAATCAAAGTTAATTAAATTAACTTTGATTTAGTTGGTGGAACTCCTAAGGTAGCCCTGCACACACACCCAGGCTCCAGGGTAATGCCCAGTGAAGAAGAAGAGATTGGATTTATACCCCGCCCTTCACTTGGAGTCTCAGAGCGGCTTACAGACTCCTTTCCCTTCCCCTCCCCACAACAGACACCCTGCGAGGTGGGGTGGGGCTGAGAGAACTCTGACACAAACTGCTCTTTTTCAAGGACAGCTGTGCCAGAGCTTGTGACTGACCCAAGGTCACATCAGCAGGTACAAGTGGAGGATTGTGGAATCAAACCCGGTTCTCCCGGATTAGAGTCCGCACACTTAACCACTACACCAAACTGGTGTAGTGGCTGCAGCTTCCCTCCCCACCCCCCTGCAAGGGCAGATCAGTCCCCTGTAACTCATAGCCCAACTAACAAGAGAACTGGCGCTGAAATGGGTGGCCCGTTATGTAGCTCATGGTGCTGCAGAGAAATCCAGGGGGTGAGGATTCCACTCCCTCGCCTCCCTGCTCGGCTCCTCAGCACCAGCCGTCAGCCTCGTCCTCCCGCAGTTCCTCCCAGAGCCTTCCCGACAGTCGCACCCACTTCTAGGCACTCTTCCCCTGGGGCGGGCAGCCTCGCGGGCTGGCTGGCTGGCTCTCCATCCTTCCTTCCCTTGCTCGGTGGGTCATTGCCTCCTCAGACCGGCTGCGGGGCTCTCCAGGGCACGGGTGGGCTGGCAAGCAGCGGAGTGCCCTTAAACTGAGGAGCCACTTTGGGGGGCTGCAAGACGAGCCCCACTCTGGGGAGCAGTGAAGACGCGCCAGAGAAAGTGGGCACCAGCACCAGGAATGAGGGAGGCAAGCACCCAGGAGCAGCAGCAGGCGGCGCGGAGTCACCCGCTACTGGGCTGAGGGCAGAAACAGGGGGTAGAGCCGAGGATTGGGGAGGGGGCCATAAAACCCGTGGAAGGGTGGGCCCCACGGGCCCCACAGTAGCTACGGGCCTGCCCCCCTCTAATTGGTCAAAGGACTACATAATCCCAAGGCCAAATTACATGCCCGACATGTACCGGCTCGCAGGTGAGCTACTCACCTTGCAATCAGATGCAAATAGAGGGGACCCACATTAAACAGTGGTTGTTCACTCAGCACTGTAAGGGGGAGTGGGGAGGGGGGAGAAGGAGCTTCCAGTTTCTCTCCCACCCTGCATTTGCCAGCAGAAGCAGTAGAGGGGGGCACTTTTCTCCCCTTTCCTCTCATTCCAGGTGCCCTAGGATGGATATATAGAGCTAGAGAAAAGGTGCAACCCCCCCCCACCAGGGTTCCCTCTAAGCTGAGTTCGTGTGAACTAGCTCACAATTTTTTAGCCTCCAGCTCACACATTTTTGTCTTAGCTCAGGAAGGATGGCTCCAAAACAAACTGATTTAATACAGTAGCCAAATCACTTGCTCACAACTTTAAAGCCAGTAGTAGCTCACAAAGTTGAATTTTTGCCCACAAGACTCCACAGCTTAGAGGGAGCCTTGCTCCCCACCCCTGCAATTTCTCCTGGCAAAAATGGGGTGGGAGGGAAACTAGATGTTCTTTCTCTCCTGGCAAGTTTTCAGGTACGTTCCCCTGATGTACCTCTGACGGCAAGTTTGGTTGTGTACCTGTGACCCGGCACATGTTGAGTATATTGTGTATTTTGGCCCTTAAACTTCTTTGAGATCAGATGACTAGTAACAGATATATTCCAAACGAATTCTGGGAACTACAGTTTTATTAGTATACTAGGAAGAAAGCCCATTGTGGAACTGAAGACAACGGGGCGCTAGCCTGGCCACGGGTGCGGGTCGCCATCTCCATCTGGCCCCCCCAGGGCGAAGCTGGCCATCCTGCCCCGCATGGTCGAGGCTCCGGCAGGCCGAGGTGCCTGGTCTCGCCCCTCCCCCCGGCACTCCCGCCCACTCAAGGCGCTGGCGGGGGAAGCTGGCCAGGCTCACCCCTCTCCCCGCAATGGGCGCGAGCCTGGCCAGGCACAGGGCACTGCCCACTTCCCGCCCCCCCAACTTGGGGAAGCAGCCCGCATTCCCCCTCGCAGGGTCGAGGCCCCGGCAGGTCAAGGCGCCTGGGTTGGCTGCTCCCGCCGCCACCCCCAGCTGAGCGAGGCCCCAGTGGGGCAAGCAGACCGGGCTCGTCTGTCTCCCTGCAATGGGCGGCAGCTCGGGCAAGAGGCTGCGGGCCAGCGTCTCCTTCCCCAGCCCCCTGCCCTCCTGCCATGCAGTTGAGGCTCCGGCAGGCCAAGCCGCCTGGCCTCGTCTGTCCCCCCGGCATCCCCGCCTGATCGAGGTGCCAGCGGGGGAAACCAGCCAGGCTCACCCCTCTCCCCGCAATGGGGGAAGCCATCCACTTCCCGCCCCCCTCCCCCTCTTGGGGAAGCAGCCCTCACTCTTCCCCAGACCCCTCTCCTCGGCCCTCCCTCCATGTGCTTGAGGCCCCGGCCGGCCTCAGGCGTGGTGGCATGGCGCCATCTCCCCTCATCCGCAGACCGCACGGGGGAGGCTCAAGGGAACGGGCCACCCCTGGTGCATGTCGGCCTGGGCCTCCTCTTGGCTGGTGGCGGCTCCTGGCTGCCGCGGCTCAGCAGCGTTGGCATGGCCCCGTCTGGAGCCTGCAGGCCGAGTGAGGGTGTCTGGCCAGTGGAGCACCCGGCCCAGGCCGCGGCTCGAAGTAAACTGAGGGCAAAAGGGTGGCTGCTGCCTCCGTGGGCGGGAGGACACCCACACAGGCAGCAGCACAGCGAATGGAGAGAGACGCCCTGTGAGTGACACACCAGGGCGCCAACCAATTCCGGACCGTGTGGAATGTTCTAGAGAAGTGCCACCACCATTCGGCTTTTATTTTTAAGGGAGATTCTCTCCTCCCTGATTTGGTGACACCCCCACTCTTTACCTTTTGTAGTGTCTTTTGGCAAAATATTATTATCTGATATCGGATGACATCATGTCCACGGAAAATGTCTTCCACAGTCAAGGTCCGATTAGCCTCACCTCTCAGAGGAGTGTAGGGAGGCTGTATAATAAACTTTATCGATCGAATACTGGGGATGTATTTCACTTCAGGATCCCCAACAACAGCTGCAGGGGAGAAAAAACAACAAAGCCACTGTGAAGAGTGGAGTTTGGAGGCTAAGAGTTAGGAAATCAGTGTGGTGTTTTCCCTGGGTAGGGTTTTATACTGGAATGGCTCCACACTGGGGGGTGGCGGGGGGTGGGGGAAAGGTTTGCAAGCCACAGGGGAGGACTCCAAGAGCCACATGTGGCTTACGAGTTGCAGTTTGGCCACCCCTGCTGTTATCTCTGTTGGTGGGCAGCTGTGAGACACATAACAGGAGTGAATGCTCCTTGCAATCATTCCAATACATGCAGCCATCATTTTGTGTGAACTGGGAAACACCCATATTTTGCCCTGAGTGTAGAGCTTCAGTACATACAAACACCTACCTTCAAAGATCCAGCGTTCAGTTTGCATGTTCTGAAGCTGGAAAATATACGCATTGCCCTATTCATGCAAAATGGTGACCCTGCATATCAGGAGATTCACAGGTAGCACAGGATCACTATGCAGGCCTGGGACACCAAAATCAAATGTTTGAAAAGGGCGAACAAGCAAGTAATCGAACAAGCAAGCAGGAGATCTACAATTCCTCCACACACACACCCATGTCATCAGCATTATTTTCATCAGGACAGCACCCCTCACATGGGAACAACATATTTGAAGACATTTTTAAAGAATGATTACAAATTGAATTATCCACCAAATGGGATAATTGTATATTCCTTCTCAGAGATGTTAACATGTTTTTATACTAATATTTAATGTGCCAGTGGTTAAAAGCATGGGTATTGTGCCAGAAAAAAATATGTCATCCTTAGAAGGCAGTGCTTCCCGATCAGGCAGCAATGCTTCCGGGTAGCCAAGCCCAAGCACTTACTGTCTTCCTTGGGATAGAACCTCGGAGTTACGATCCAATTTGAGACACAGCAGTTAGGGACAATGGCTCTCACTCTGGCATAGTAGCGTTCAGTGTAGTTTTCAGTCTCTCGTGTGAGATTGCAGAAAAGCTGTGTGATGTTCTGGCACTCACTTTTGTTTTGCCATGTGGCCCCATACCTAAGAGAAAATATCATGCATTATTTACAGAGACAGGAAATCTCACTCAACTTAGAATCAGGCTTCCTAAACTGAACTGCTTCCCTGAACATTTTCGGAATGCTGTTCTTGATCAATTTGTCATGTTGCACTTGGCGATGAAGACATTTAGCTTGTACAGACCTCTTGAGATATTTTGTAAAGTCCTAGAGGGGAGGTCTGAGGTATGCGTTGGGGCCTGGGGGGGGGATGTAAATTTCCATTTTTTTTTCTCTCCTTCCTGCCCACAGTTTCTAGTGGCCCCTAGATGGTGTACTTCCCTCCCTAAACCCCACCCTCCCCCGGCTCCCCCCTCCCCCCAAACCTCCAGAATTTCCTAACCTGGAGCTGGCAACCATAATCTCTGGACACCCTCTCTCTCGGGTTGCTAACTTGGAGGAGTATCCAGGAAGTGTAGCCAGTGGGGATGATGCTCCACTGAAGGTTGCTTGCAGAATGCCTTGCCTCCACTTGTCCTGCTAGGAAAGCTCTGAGAATTTGATCTTAGCACCAGTCTGATGGATTCTATCACTCCATCTATAGTGCACATGCATAACAACTCACTCTCTCTCACCCCCCACCCCACAATATGGGGATCATTGCCTACCTTGCAGAGTGGTTGTAAAGATTTGAACAATGTATGCAAAATAGTATTAAATGGACGGATGGCACACACACAATCTACTGCAGACTAAATAAATACAATGAAGAAGAATTCTCAGCAAAGTGCAGCGGTGGAAGGTTAGGGACCCCTTGGGAAGTGATCCTTAGTATGAGAAGAATTATAAGCATCCTCCCAATTTGCAACTGGGAAATGCTGAAAGGTGGGTAAGTCTCCTTTTCTGGTATTAATTATTGTCATTAATACCTTAATATCCGATCCCATCCAAAATGTATCTAACCATTCTTTCTTATCAGGTATGGTTGTAGTGGTTAGAGTGTCAGACTAGGATCTGGGAGATCCAGGTTCAAATCCCCACTCTGCCATGGAAGCTGGCTGGGTGGCCTTGGGCCAGTCACTCTCTCAGCTTAACCCACCTCACAGTCGTGCTGTGAGGATCAAAATGGAGAAGAAGAGAATGATGTTGGGGAGAAAGGCTGGGTATATAGGAAGTAAAAAAAATACATGTCCAGAGCCTAGCAAGCATCTTTGCTTATTTTCAAACTGTAGCTCTTCCAAATAACCTGACATACATCTTTACGACACAGGCTGAGATCCACCTTCTGCTATGACTATCCCTTTTCTTGAGAGGCAAACCTATACGCAGTCTTCAGTGGCATGTAGTTTCCCCCCAACTTTTATTCTCACAAAATGCACTTATTTATTTATTAATTTATTTACTTGTTTGCTTTATACACCACCCTCCCCGCTGGAGCAGGCTCAGGGTGGCTTACATAAAAATTTTAAAACAGATAAAACAGAACAAATATGAATATGAATATAAAACCCATCATAAAGTAAGCAGTTTGTATAACAGTGGCGAGGCACTAGTAGCAGTCAATTACAATAAGAAGTATAGTCAGCATTTGATGTTCCTGTTGGCTACGCACAGGCTGTCAGTGGTGGTATTAGGGCGCAGGGTCTTAAGTTTATTAGATGCGGCTCCTTAATCGAATGCCTGGTGGAAGAGCTCTGTCTTGCAGGTTCTAGTGTCTTCCGGGAGTTCATTCCACCAGTGTGGAGCCGCCACTGAGAAGGCCCTGGCCCTGGTCAAAGCCAGCCTGGCATCTTTGGGACCCAGAAGGGGCAGACAGTTGAGACCAGTGTTCCCTCTAAGCTGAGTTACTGTTAGTTAGCTCACAGTTTTTTCGCCTCCGGCTCACAGATTTTTGTCTCAGCTCAGGGAGGATGGCTCCAGAGCAAACTGATTTATGCAGTAGCCAAATCGCTTGCTCACAGCTTTTATGCCAGTAGCTCACAAAGTAGAATTTTTGTTCACAAGACTCCACAGCTTAGAGGGAACATTGGTTGAGACCCTGAATGCAGTGCTCTCTGGGGAACATGTGGGGAAAGGGACCCTCAGGTATGTAGGCCCCTGACCACAAAGGGTTTTAAAGGTAAGAACCAGCACCTTGAAGCAAATTCGGTATGCTATAGGCAGCCAACGCAGTGCTTTTAGCACAAGCTGGATGTGCTCCCACACGGGAAGCCCCAACAACAGCCTGGCTGCAGCATTCTGCACCAGCTGAAGCTTCTGGATTTGGGACAAGGGCAGCCCCATGTAGAGAGCTTTACAGTAGTCTAATCTCCAGGTGACCATTGCGTGTATCACTGTTGCCAGGTCGTTGCATGTGAGGAAGGGAACCAACTGCTTGATCAGCCGAAGATGATAAAAGGCTGACTTAGCACTGGCTGCTACCTGGGTCTCCAGGTAGCAGCCAATGCTAAGTCAGCCTGGCATCCAAGAGTACTCCCAGGCACCTAACCTCCAGCGCTGGCACCAGTGGTGCCCCATCGAAGGTCGGGAGTGGGATCCCTAACCCCGGAACTCAGACACAGGACCTCCATTTTTGTCGGATTCAATTTCAGTCGGCTCAGTCTAAGCCAATCAGCCACGGTTTGCAACACCAGGTCAAGATCTCCCGGTCTAGAGTCAGACTGGCCACCCAACAGCAGATAGAGTTGGGTGTCATCTGCATACTGGTGACATCCCAGCCCATGCCTCTGGGCAATCTGGGTAAGGGGGCCCATATAGATGTTAAACAACATTGGGGAAAGTACCACCCCTTGGGGCACTCCGCAAACAAACGGGTGCCTTCAGGACAGCTGTTCCCCTAATGCCACCCTTTGTCCCCGACCCTGGAGGAATGAGGAAAGCCATTGCAAGGCAGACCCATGGATCCCATAGTCGGCGAGGCAGTGGATCAGTAGCTGATGGTCGACTGTGTCGAACGCTGCCGACAGGTCTAATAACAGCAGCACTGCTGAACTGCCCCGATCCAAATGCCTCTGAAGGTCAGGAAAAAGACACAGCAGGGAAGGCTCTGTCCCATGGCCTGGGCGGAAGCTGGACTGGAAGGGATCTAGTGTGGAAGCGTCATCCATAAAACCCTGCAACTGAGTTGCCACCGCCTACAACAGAAGATTTCCTGAGCCAGGAGCTCACTCAGTCCATTCCTCCCTCAGCAGTTTTTCCATTCAAAATCCCACCCCCACCCCCATTTTTCCACCCATGGGGAGGGGGCCTGACTGCAGACTCTGTGGCTGCAGGGTTTTTTTTGGCATGGGGGAGGGGAGTCCTTGGGAAAACTGCATGTGTGACTGCCTCTGATAGAAGCCAAACCTACATCATTCTCCCTTCCTTGCATCATCCAGGCAGGCAGCTTTGTTCTAACATTAATTACTACGATAAACATACCAGCTGGGAAGCTGATTATTAATTAACATCTTTATTTTGCACACCTCTTGATGCTAAAAGCTGGTCCACAAGTTACAAGAAAACAAAAAGTCCTGTTTACTGGAAAGATCAGAGGGAAAACTGTCAGAATGCCAAGTTCTTCACCTGCTATACTGTCTGCTACTGAGGACAGATCTATGGTGCCAGCGCTCCTGGGAAAGGAGACGACTGTTTCGAGAAGGAGTCACTACAGGCTGGCCCAGTAAGACGAAAGATTCAAGCTGAGTGAATGCGCTCCTTTAAAGCAGAGTAAGGTGCTGTAGTTGACTAATTCCCACACTGAGCAAGGGGGTTAGAGTAGGTGACCTCTAGGATCCCTTCAAACTCTGTGTCAAGAAACTGTTCTCCTCTAAGAGAGTTTTTCTGCCTAAGTGTTAGCTCTCTTGACTATAGAAGTAATCAGCGCCCACCTGACAGATTGTTATCAGAATTGTTGCTTAGGCTGGCAGAAGTGATTAACTTGCAGCAGCTGAGAACTGTCATCTAAAGTGGTTGACAGCTGGCTAGCCTGGTAACAGCCTATTGGCTAAATGGCTTTTCTTTCTGCACTGAGACCTTCAGCCCCACCAGAACAAAACTTTTCCCACAAGCCACAAAATCCTGGCTACGGGCCTGCCCTCCCCCACAAACTGTTTGCCTGTCCTGAAATCATCTAGTGGGGGCACTATGTGGCCCACTGGCAACTGCATAGGTAGGTCAGGAAAAAGATGCAGCAGGGAAGGCAGGAACCTCTTCTCCCCACACATCAGACCTGATCCTATTGGGGTGGGAGGCATGCACTTGAGAACTGAGTTTCTCTCAGGAATACATCATTGTGGTGTTTCTGTGAAAGGAAATCAGTGGATTTAAACAGTTCCAAACCATGTGTTAAAGAAAAGGCTGTGCTTCCTTACGTTTTGTACTGCACATCATAGATGGTGCTGGGGGATGTCTCTTTCCCATGCTCCCACGTGAGAATGTTTTCAAAGTTTATGGACTGAAAAGTGACTTGTTGAATGAGTGGAGATCTCTCTGCCAGCAAATCCCCTAGGAGGGGGAAAAAAGGAACAATTATCTTATTTTAGACCTCTTATCAGAAGGGAAGTACAGGGGAACTGTCAACAGCTGTTCCTCATTTGCAGTAAACATCATTTATGGGAACGCAGCACAGTGGATTTCAAAGACTGCAATGGGAAACAGAGAAAGGGGTAGGTGGGGCTGAGATTGTTTAGAGAAATTCTTTCAGAACTATTCTTTGAACAGGTGCAAATGGTTTTATTTCAAGTCAAGGCTGCAGAAGTTGAAGACTTCAGTGTCAGGGGAAAGAACTTCCTTCTTTCAGATTTTCAAAAGCAGCCTTTGTGAACCTGTGTGGTAACTTCTAGATCCCCACAGAATTCTCTAGGTGTTCATTCTTGGCTATAACACTGATCTTACAGTACGGCCTCCCTGAAGGTGAGGAGGTATTGTGCAGAGGAGCAGCAACAAACACCCAGTTTCTTTCAACTTGTTGGTTTATTACTGAACACTGAACTGTTGGTTTATTACTGAACACTGAACTTCAGGGTAGATAATTTGGTTTGAAAAGAAAGAAATACAACAATACTTAGCTAAAGCTGTTTCTTGTCCTATGAGGAAAGGTTGAAGGAGCTGGGTATGTTTAGCCTGGAGAGGAGATGACTGAGAGGTGATATGATAACCATCTTCAAGTACTTGAATGGCTATCATATAGAGGATGGTACGGAGTTGTTTTCTGTTGCCTCAGAAAGTCGTACCAGAACCAATAGGTTGAAATTAAATCAGAAGAGTTTTTGGCTAAGTATTAGGAAGAAACTTCCTGACAGTTAGAG